AAAACAAAATATTTTGAAAAAAAGTACACAGATGATAAACAAAGACGTAAATGTCCATTTTGTAAAATTTTCTTTCCTAAAAATTATAACAAGACATTTATCTTAAACGCTAAAATTTAGGGTCATTTAATTCAAAATCTCTTATTTTTAATACACCTTGATTCATGCGTGTTTTTTTAAAAAAAAGTGATTTTATTTCCAAATTATATTTATGAATTAAATATTTATTACTAGTAGTTTTATAGGAAAACTTTAATATTCCGTTTATTTTAGAACATATCACTTGCTCGAATTTCAACATTTGTTAATATCCGAATTCTATAATAGCGCAACAAAAGCAGTATAACAATATACTGTAACAAAGACAGTGTAACAATACACTGTAACAAAATCAGTGATCAATGGTTTTGTGCATGTGGTAACAAATTCAAAACGAAAATGAATTGTTTTAAATGAAATTATATGAAAATATATGTTTGATAAAATATAATAGTACAATATTTTGTATAAATGTTTTGTTACACTGTTATGGAATTCGATATTAATATAATTTGAAAAAAAAACACCACTTTCCAAAACAAAAAAAAAAACTCATGAATAAAGGTGCATTAAATATAATTTGAAAACAAAACCACTTCTATAAAAAACGCATGAATCAAGGGATGACATACAAAAACGGAATATTAATGTTTTCCCATAAAATTTGGAGATGTTTAATGCACCATTTTTCAAAAAAAATACACATGAATCGAGGGAGAACAAAAATGACACAAAAAAATTTAAAAATTTTAAATAATGTACTTTGAAACAAATTAGTATCAAAATTAAGAACTTTTTTACTCTATATTTTTTTCTGTGTATTTTTTACAATTAACTCTAATTTAGTGTACCTCATTCCAATTTAGATTGAGCCTATTAATTCAGTCGTAAAATTAAAAAGTCCTAAATTTTTTTTTTTAAATAAAGAAAAAAAACTAAATGTAAAACTAAAACTACTAAAAAATCTAGTTTTAACCATAAAAAAAGTCCAAGTCTAAATTCACCATTTTGTCATTAGCCAATCCTATGTTGCTAAGGGAAACGGGTGTGGAGTACATGGTATATAAGTGTAAGTTTTACATCTTCATTGTTCAACACGTTCGATAAACCTGCCTTTTTTATTTTATATATTTGAGAGGCTACTCTATCTATTGTTGATTGATTATTTGTTGAATGGTCTAATACAATATTAGATAGGAAATGAAGTCCATATTGCTAATCTGATAGTGACAATGTATTTCTGATGGAAACCAATTTGCTAATTCATTGCATTAGTTCACCATTCTATGAAGCACCTTCTAGGGGAAAAGAGATCAACGAAAGTGGGACAAACTCAAACTTGTAGTTCTTTGATCAATGCAGTATAGATGTTGCTACTGACAACTTCTCTCTAGCTAACAGACTTGGACAAGGTGGATTTAAAACAGTGTAAAAGGTAGTGAATGTACGCGACTTCAACTCTTAATGTGATTGTGAGTTGGTGTTCATAAGGTTTTGTTCATGATCCTCTTTTTCTAATATCAAATCTGACTTAGACAATGGTGAATTCTCTGAATCTTTGGCCTGTACAGTTACCTTAGATAGAATATTTCCTTCCATCTCTATATTAAAAATTTTAAATCAACGATATTATTGAGATCTAATTTATTGATCGAGTTTATTATCTTAATTCATTATAATTTTTTGATTGGAAGCGAGTCTCTTGTTAATGTTGTGATCTGCTATTATTTGATCAGTCCAATAAATTAAATTAAAACATTAGCTCAAGCAGTATGACTCTTTTTAAATTCGAGCCGCGTGTGGGTCCCACCTAAATTCCATTTACCTCAAGCTAAGCCCCACCTAGTGGATATCATTATGATACAATTGCAACTCTACTAAATTTATGTCGCTTTTATAAGGTGATAATGAAATATGAAAATGGAATGATTATTATTTAGTAACATTCATTTAAATGTTTGGTATGTAGTAAGATTTATTCAAATGTTTGGTACGCAGTAGTAAAATTCATTTCAATGGTAATAGAATGCCAAATACCATCATTATAGAAATTGTCATTCTTTAATATTTAATAACTAGTTATTGTCTGTGTCCGAAGACACAGAGTAATAAAAAATGATAAATAATAAACATATTTGTGATCTATTTTTAAAATCAAATCACAAACATAAAAAAAAAAAAAAAATTTAAGTGTCAATTTGTAGTGGAGGTGAGAAGTGGTGGGTGGCAGTGGTGGTGATAGGAAATGGTAATGGTTATGGTGGTGACAATGACGGGGGGGTGGCGGTGGTGGTGGTGGAGGCGGCGGTGGGGGGTGGTGGTGGTGGTGGTGGTGGCAGTTGTAGTGGTGGTGGGGGTGAAAGTAGGGGGGTTAGAGGTAGTGGTAGAGCGATTTCAAACACAATTTTTTTTTAAGTATTTATGAAATTTTTTTTCTAAAAGTGTTTTGAGAAAGTCACTCCAATATACACCCTTATGCTCTGTTTAGTATGATAAAAAAAATAAAAAGATGGAAAGTTGGAAGGATGAAAAGTTGGAAGGATAAATAAAACATCATGTTTTGTAAGAAAAGGAAAATAGGAAGGATGAAAAAGTGGATGGATTAACTTTCCTTCCAACTCACAAAAATCAATCCCTCCAAAATCGGAAGGAAAGTGGATAGAAAATTAATTACTTGTGTCAAAATGTATCTTATTTGTTTATATATTATGTATACATTAATTTCATATAAAAAATATAATGATAAAATATGTATTTATATATATATTTTTAAAAAATAAAAAAATAAAAAAATTAAAATTAAAATAAAAAATTAAAATTAATTTTTTTTTTCATCTTAACTAGAGGTGAAATTTTTTGACTCAACATGATGATACGACTTGAATTTGACACGAATTTTATGACACGAACTCGAAAATGACCTGACACGCGAACAAGTAATATATAAGGCTTATAATTTTATGATTCAATACGAATCTGACACGACACGACTTGATTGTTACTTTTAATATTAGACAAAAAAAATTGATTATTTTTATTTTCTATCCATCTAACCAAACACAAAGGAAAGAAAGTGTATCATTCCTACTTTCTATTCTTGAAGAATAAAAAGTGTATCACTCCTACTTTCCATATTTCCTACCAAACGAAGCATTAGAGACCTATTTTTTCTATTAATTTAGGGTGTTAATATTAGCTGTTAGATTAAATTTAAAATAAAATTTAAAACGATATCAACTGCAAATAGTAAAAGTAATTTTGTTTATATTTTGAGATTTAAATTATAAATTACTTTATTATATAGATTTTTTTTATTTTGAACTATTATCAGTCGTCACCATCGTCATCATCTCCACCCCACGGTCCACCTCCACCCGAGATCCAGATCTAGGTCTAGGGCCGGGCTTTGGTCTTTGTCCAAGGTTCAGGAGCCGGGTTTGTGCCCTGTCTAGGTCCAAGGTTTGAGTCCAGGAATCGGTGTCTGGGTTTGGATTTGAAGTTGGGTCTGGGTTGAGGGTTCGAGTCCAAGGTTCGGAAGTTAGTTCTGCGTCGAGAGTCGAGTCCGAGGCTAAAGTTCGGGTCCGAGATCTAGAGACGAGATTAGAATCGATTTTCTCTGGTTCGCAAGAGACGCGGCAAGTTTTTTAGACATATCTTTGATCGGTGATGATTCGCTGGCAGTACAATTGTAGCAGCTGCTCGGAAAGATTAGTTGAGGAAAATCAACATGGACCAGAACTCCGAGATCTCCCAACGCAACCCTCCACTGGCTTCAATGGAAATTGGTCAGAAAAAGCAAAGGAGGCATTTGATAGAGTTGAGAAATCCTTGGCTGCTGCCATTCCTTTAGGCGATTATTCAGCTGGTTTCAAAATATACGTTCTTCGTCCTTTAGGCGATTATTCAGCTGGTTTCAAAATATACGTTCTTCGTCAATATAGGTTAGTCACTATTTTTTTTTTTTTTGACTATGAGATTGTAAAGAGAGAGAAGAAAAGATTAATGAAGTAAAATGGAAAGAAACTAACTGAAAACATTTTTTTTTTTTTTTGACTCACATTCATAAATTTATTCGTTTTCTTTTTGCATGATTTGGACTCAAAGTCTATATTAATTGAATTCATCTATTTACTTCCTTAATCAGTGGAAAAATGAGAAGAATAAACTATATATATATAAAAGTAGCATTCTGCATGAATTGACAGCACAGGAAGATTTTTTGTATGTGATTGTCACCATGCCGGTCTTCTCAGGGCACTCTTCCGTTACTGTTGGTTATATTGGAATGGCATTTGGAAGAAAACCATCGAACAGACCATGTATCTTGTAGAGAAGGTCTTGCCTTTTCTGGTTTTATTTCTTCTGAATCCCAGATCTTGCGCTTCCATATACACCATTAAATCAAACCGACCTTTCAAAGATGGTGACATTCTAGTCTCTAATGGAGTATACTTTGCGCTTTGGTTCTTTAGCCTCGACAATTCCAGCAACCGATATGTGGGTGTCTGGTATAACAAAGTTTCAAAACAAACAATAGTTTGGGTAGCAAACAGAGACAATCCTGTCACTCATTTCACTGGTATTCTCTTCATTTGATAGTACTGGAAATTTGGTTTTACTCGACCAAAACAAAGACATTCCAGTCTGGTGATTGGTCGACCAATGTTTCAGCCATGACCGATGGAAATGCCACTTCAGCTCAGCTCTTGGATACTGTTAATCTGGTTTTGCTTCAAGGTAACGGCCAAAGGCTGTTGCATAGCAAAGCTTTGATTATCCTACAAACACTATGCTTCCTTACAAGAAACTTGGGGTGGACAACAGGACCGGTCTGAACCGTCGCTTGAGGATCCACGAACTGGGGTGTATTCATATAAAATGGACCCCAATGGGTCACCACAGTTGTTCTTGTCCAAGGGTTTGGTTCATGTATGGCAAACTGGACCATGGATTGGGCTTAAATGGAGTGGTGTCCCAGACATGACACCTAATTTCATCTTCAATGCTAAATATGTTGACAATCAAGATGAGGTCTCTGTGGTCTATGGTTTACATGACCCCTTGGTTTTCTCAAGCTTGGTGATCAATGAGTCCGGGGTGGTTGAAAGGCTAACGTGGCACGAGAGGGACCATAGATGGGTGGGATTCTGGTTCGAACCAGAAGACAAGTGTGACAAATATAGTAATTGCGGTGCAATCAGTGACTGATCCATATAGTTCAAGTGGGTTTGAATGTGCTTGCCTTCCGGGTTTTGAGCCTGAGTCCGCACGTGACTGGTACTTGAGGGATGCGTCTAAAGGATGCATAAGGAAGCGAGGTGGACAAGTGTGTGAAAATGGGGACGGATTTGTGAAGGTCACACATGCTAGGGTTCCCGACAAGTGAATGGCACGGGTGGACAAAAGTATGGGATTGAAAGCTTGTGAGGAGTTATGCTTTAGGAATTGCTCTTGCACAGGGTATACAAGTGCTGATGTTAATGGAACAGGAAGGGGATGCATCACTTGGGATGGGGAGTTGATAGACACTAGTCTATTTTTACATGGGGGCCAGGATTTATACATACGTGTGGATGCAGCTGAGTTAGGTATGACATCAATTTTCATGCTGATTTTCCAATGGTAACTGTTACTTCTTTGAGCTTTAGCAGTCTGAATTCTTTATGATAGAGCCTTATTAGATTCCCCAGACTTGATGAATTCTTTCATTTTGGTATAGCAAGAATTGAGAATTTTTTTGACTACTAACATGACTTTTATACCATTCAAACCATTATGTTGAAATATCATATCAACATTTATGCTATTGTTAGAACAGCAGAAGTAACTGGCTATTAGCATGTCATGGAGGAGTTTTCTAATTTATGTGCGTGAGCCACTTCAATAAAAAGCTTTCACTTTGCAAATTCTCAAACTCTATGCACATGGAAACTTTCAAAAAGATTACCAATACAAGAAAAATAAATTTTAACCACCAAAGTTGGCCTAGTTTGCACCCTGATCAACTATTAAGATAAGTTGTGGTTGAACCTTATTAGATCAATCGGGATCTTTTTTCCAGCTCAATACTCAAAGAAGTCGAAGAGCTTTGATCACAAAAGGTTGGTGACAATTGTGGCATCCATCGCCGCAATGCTTTTCATATTGCCTTTGGTGTATTGGTTGGCTATGAAGAGGAGGAAAGGTAAACAAATTATTCTTATCACATTACCATTGCTTAATAGTGCACACCTTCTGTGAAATGGAGTTGAAATTTGTCACTGTTTCATCAAGTTGTACTAGGTACAAGGTCGATCAATTCTGCAAATAAATAACCATCCTGAATTAATATTGTTTGTGTTTGAGTAACACCAAACAAAAATTAAGCCTCTAGGACTCACAAGTTGATGATTAGTGTTGGAACATTAAGCACGAGACAAGATTGAGATTCACTTTGCAAGATAGATTGTTTAGGCAACCATCATGACATTCCTGCTGGTTTTTATTTCTTAGTTGTTAATATTAGCCCATGTATCGTGTACATTATCTTTCAGTCTCATGCCTTGCTACTAATGTGAAACTATTAACTTGAAACAAAATCTGATCCTTATAGCAAGACTTTGTCATGTAGGTGATCAACTGGCCTTTCTTAAAGATTTTTCGTGTTTAATGACAGGCAAGACAGGGAGAAACAAATTGCCAATTCGTTGCACTAGTTCACCATTCTATCAAGTACCTTCTAGGGGAAACGAGATCAACGAAAGTGGGACAAACTCAGATCTACAATTCTTTGATCTAAGCACTATAGTTGCTGCCACAGACTTCTCTCTCATTAACAAACTTGGACAAGGTGGATTTGGTATGGTTTATAAGGTAGTGAATGCATGCCTGTCTATACCACTCTCAGGGCATGCTTGAGTAAGCCCAGTTGCACTTGAACAACAAATTACTTAGTCTGATCCATTTTTAACTATAAATGATTTGATTTTAGGGTCGACTATATAATGGACAGGAAATAGCTGTCAAAAGACTATCAAACAATTCAAGACAAGGGATAGAAGAGTTGAAGAACGAAGTGAAATTGATTGCCAGACTACAACACAAGAATCTTGTAAGGCTTTTGGGCTGTTGCATTCAAGAAGACGAAAAGATGTTAATCTACGAATACTTGCCAAATAAAGGCATGGATTCTTATATCTTCGGTATGTTCCCTATTTGTAAACTTCCACTTGGCTATGTTTTTTCTTTTATAGTGACTGATGCGTGATTTGGTGAAAAATTCAACTTGTGGTCCAGATAAAGCAAGAGGGTCAATGGTAGATTGGGGAAAGCGTTTTGAAATCATTTTGGGAATTGTTAGAGGAATGATGTGTCTTCATCAAGACTCAAGACTAAGGATCATCCACATGGATCTGAAAGCCAGCAATTTACTGTTGGATGCCACCATGAATCCAAAAAAATCAGACTTCGGTATGGCCAAAATCTTTGCTGGGGACCAAATCGAAGCTAACACGGTTCGAGTAGTTGGAACATAGTAAGTATAACGGCGTGAGTGAGTGAGAGAGAGAATTTGTTTTAACTATTTTCTCAACTTTCGGTGATTGCAGCGGTTATATGTCACCAGAGTATGCAATGAAAGGATATTTTTTTATTAAGTCTGATGTTTATAGCTTTGGGATTATGCTATTGGAGATAATCAGTGGCCGGAAGAACAACAGTTACCGCAATGAAACTCTTTTAATTTAATTGAACATACATGTGTACAATTGCATTTGATGCCAAGACCTCAAATGTATCTATGGTTACAGAAAATTCTATTTCGTTAATTGTTAAAATCATGACTCTTATATGACGTGCAGTTTTAAGAAATAAGAAAATAATATGTCACACTGAAGTGAAACAAAAGGACATGTTGGAGTTGAATTAAGGATCTTTTGAGAGGTTTCTTCCTTTTCTTAGAGAGAAAGCATTGCTATCTGATTATTTACCTAAAATTGATGGTTAATGTTGTATCAGGTTTGGGACATGTGGAACGAAAGCAAGGCCCTGGATATAGTTGATTCATCATTGTGCAATTCATATCAGGCTCATGAAGTGTTGAGATGTATACACATTGGACTATTATGTGTGCAAGACACACATACATTTGTTCATTGTCTCATGACTCACACACATAGAGTCTCTCTCACACACACACACATTCACACATCATCTTCTTTGTCTCATGACACACATACAATCGAACACAAACACACACATCACCTTTCACGACTCTCTCCCCCTCTCTATCTCACGCACTCACACACAGACACACATCACACAAACACATGCACACACCAAAGCACACACACATTTCCCCTTATTATTTTCCAAAAATTTCAATTTCATGAATTTCATCTCAATTTACACACCATCTTTTTCCATTGTTGGCTTATGTTGCTATTTTGAATTGTTTTAGTTGAATATAAATCTTTTTGTTCACTTAAAAATTTGATGCTTGGATTAATGTTTGATCAATGGGTTGACATTGATTTTCTTCCTAAAGCTAATTGTTATGATATTAATCTTGCGTTGTTTCGAAGAAATCCACTCACTGGCCAACTATTTGAAAATTTTAGATGCACATCTTATCAGGAGGTTGGAACCCCCTAGGTAATATCCTGAACCTTTTAATCTCTTCCATTTATAAGTGTTGCTCCTGAATTGATACTATATATTTTTAGTTCTTTGGCAAGCATATCAAGTTCAAGTATACATAGGATTATGAATAAAATGTTGTATCGGTATGAGTATTTACTGCCATCATAGCTCTAGTAATGTGACTGTTGTGAATTTTGGTTAACAAGGAAAAATATGCAATTTATATATTCATTGATTAATGTTTAGGCATATAGATATCTCATTTACGATACTAACACTGTTGATTTTTTAGTTTTGCTTGTTTTTTATGTAATGATAATTGTTTTATATTAGACTAAATTGAATAGAGAATGACAGAAGGGCTCTTGCTAATGTCCATGCGTTTTTCAAATTATTGATTGTTGTGGTTACTCAATGCCTTTACGTGCATATGTGGGTGGGAAAATAGTTGTGTGGGTGGGAGACTGTGTTATAGAGAGTTGTTGATCATGTTTAGATTTTTTTAGGCCTTAATTGGATATGGAAGCTATGGAATTTGGGCTGAAACTTTTTGGGAATTTTAATTCTTATTTCCCCCCTTGCTTAGATATCAAAAATCTTATTGACAAATAAATGTTGTGTTTGATGGAAAATATATTGCACTGCGTAGTTCATGTCGTTTTGAGCAAATCTTACTTAGCAATTCCCTATGAGTATGTGTATTATGGGTGAAATGTTACGGTGGTTGTGATTTTTGGATTTGCATTGTTAAATTCATGCATTGGAATGTTGTTTGATTTAAGGCCATAGTTTGATTTGACTTTTCATTTGGTAATCAGAATGTAGTGTTGTTTGATGATGTTGAAATTTGAATTCCCTAGATTAAATCAAAATGCATGTGTAGGGACATTTAAGAAATTGGAGTAGATTGACTATGTGATTTTAAGAAAATTGAATGCTAAATATGTGAGCTTGAATGAATAGTGGAGTTAACTATTGTTTAGTTGTATCACTTGCAGTGCTTCATAACCGTAAAAAAACATGTAATGTGGAAATCATCGATCCAAAGGTAAAGTTTTCATTGATAGAAGGTGCAATATACCAAAAAAAAAAAAGTTTAACTGTTTCTTAAATATTATCCAATATTTTTGACATTGAAGCGGTCACATTTATGTGAAAGTCATCATAAAGAAGCATTGTTTATGTTTGAAAAATCTGATGCCTATAAATATACAACATTGTTTCATGTATTATGTATTTTTGATTTGACAGACTCATGGAAGGCTAAAAAGACTCAATAATTCTCTTGGTAGATGGGTGAACTGACTCGGTTTAGTTCTATTGGTAAAGGTTACAATTTCATTATTGACTGATGTTTCAAAATATGGAATATTCAAACCAAATGATTCTTATTTATGTGGATTTAGTTCTTTGGTTGGACTTTATTACTTGTGGCTATGACTTTTCTAATTAAGATATAAATGTTATTTTTGCTTGGATTATGTAGTGAATAAAATTTAATGTTGTCTTTGAGTTAGGTTGGATAATTTATTCCTGCGATTGGTTATGCAATAATTTGTGTCGGGAGATTGAATAGTTTGTGTTAGGCAATAATGCAATTGATGTCATTGTAGACAGATTGAGATTTTCTTAAGTTCATTTCAAAGAAAACTTTGTTGAAAAAAATAGTAGAGGTTATATTTATTTTGATTTTTTTTAATTAAAGCAAATGAAAGAAAAATTATTTTAAATTAAAGAATTTTTTAAGTTACAAAGTGCCTTTAGGCATGAGTTATTTCTAGTACATATATATGAGATATAAAGAGATAAAAAGATAAAGAGTTCTAATATAAGAAAAACTCTAAAATTTAAGAGTTTTAGTTTTTAAATTAATTAGTTTCCTTATCTGGTTTTTTCAATAGCGATGTGATAATGGTTAAAGTTACTTCGGTCCTTCCGCTCCAAAGTGTACTTTTTGTCAAATATTTTTAAAGTTTGTATTTAAATTCAAATAAGTTATAAAAAGTGTACCAGCTTCTAAAAAAATCCTAATATTTACTCTTAAGAGCATCTCCAATCATGACTTAAATTTGAGTCTAAATTTAAATAAAAAACTTGATTTGGTATAGAGTATTCCAATAGATAAAGTCAAATATTTAATCAAATCTTTTAAAAAAAATTTCTTATTGTCCCAAAATTTATTTTTTAGTCTCATTCTAATCCTGATATTTAATAAAATAAATGAAACTTTCTTATCTATCCACAAATAGATAATTCAAAAAAAAATTAATATGGATACAACACCACGTGGCTATAAAAAGAAACGGAAAAAAACAAAACAAAACCACTCTAGAATTCTCATATTGTTTTAATCATTTATTATTATTATTTTTTTATAAATCCATATAAAAAAAATAAAAAAAAATAGTTACTTTAATATGGGTCTGGTCCGAAGAACACAAAAAAAAAGGATTATTTTTAATAAAAATGAATGATTGAAGAAATAAAATGATAAATTTCCTAAATTTGTGAATAGTGAAAACTTGAAATTTTAGGAATAATCGATAGCCTAAAATTATACTACCAATAGTGTTTAACTCGTAAAAAATAAAAAAAAAACAAATTTGATGTACATGCTTAGAATTTTAAAAAATACAAGAAAACAAGAAAATAAACAATGAAAAGAAAGAAGCATACCTACAGACCTTGAAAAGACCTATGAAAGTTTCGGTGGCGATCGTAAACAATAAAGGTCAAAGTCGTGAACAATTGTAATTGAAATTGATGCCACACCTAACTCAACTGTATCCATTAAATTCCCATACCAAGTCCATCAACCACTTCCTGCGTCATTAAAATTAGCACTTGTATAAGTACCCTATGCAAGAGTAGTCGTGTCTGTCATTATCCAAGTGTCCAAGACTTCTGCCTATGCCATCTTAACCAATTTTTCTCCGTTTTCGAACACTAGTCACCCTTAGCTTCTTGAGGCGCCTCTTGGACCATTATTTTGTTGAGCAACAAGTTCTAATATTGAATTACATGCACAACCAATATAACAGAGATATAGATTAAACCTGTAAATTAAATTCATATAATACAATTAAATGGAAAAGTGCTTCTCTTGTAAACTTTTCAGCCAGTGGTTGGTATACTTACTATGCTAGTGCATGGTTAAAACCATGTGTGAGTGGGGCCAGATGGCCCACTAGTAATTTGAAAACCAACTTGTCCCCCCCCCCCCCCCCAAAAAAAAAAAAAGAAGAGTTTTTCACTATGGAGCACACTTAAACCAGTTAAAAATAGTACTTCAAGGATCAATATTGAACTTCTGAAGTTTGATGAAATTAAAAATAAAAAATAAAAATAGAAGATTGAAGTTTAAAGTGAATGTTATTTCATTTTGATGGCATAAAAACTATGTCAAAAAAAAGGGGTAAATTATACAGAGCTTCTTTGAACTTAGGGTCAATGGTACATCACGTCACTCAACTAAAGTACAAATCAAAAAAGATCTAATGGTTTTTATAAAAAGACTAAAATATCCTTAAATTGTCTTCGAATTTCCTTTGAAATGCTATCCATTCCAAATCTCAGACACACGCACACATTCAATGAAATTTCTTTTCTTTAATCTCTACTACTTTCTTCAATCTTTATTGCTTACTTACTAGAATGAAGGGGGGAGAGACAGAAAAGATAAAAAGAGGTTGAAGAAGGAGAAGAGAAAAACATTCGGAGTTGAGTTGTGTTATGAGTTACATAGCAAATGACAATTTCTTCCTCAATTGATGCTTAGGTTGTACTTTGGGATTGTAGTACAGCATATTAGAGTGCTTGATAATTTAATTTTTTAATTCAAGAAAAAAATTATTTATTTTATAATACGCACTTAATTAGCGCGCTGTTAAAATAAATGAATTAAAATATATTCTGTTTCTTTTCACTATTTAATGTAGGTTCTGCTTTCACAACTGTTCATAAAGTAACTAACAACTAATTCAAAAATTCATTAAAATTATATACTTTAGGGTACAAAAATGGACCGTTAAATTTTTAATAAAATAATCACTTATTGGACACGTGAAATCATCCGAAAAAGTGAGAGATGTTCACTTCCCTTAAAAAAACAACAAAAAATAGAGGAGAATCCAAAGAGATACTCATCGGGTGCGTTCGGATAACCGGCAAGGATAGAAAAAATAGGATTTTTTGTTTCCTAACCCATCCCACCCAAACCCAATCAACCACTTAATTTGATGGGTTATGTTCGCTATCCAATCCAAACCATTGTTTGGCAAGAAACATTTTAATTTCATGGGCCCAGAGACTTTGATATTTATTTTTGTATATATTTACCATTTTAACCATTGGATTTCTCGCTTAACTTACAAACATTTACAATTTACCACATGATATTTATACATAAAAAAAAAATTCATCAACATTTTCATTGTGTTGGTTTAACGGTTTACATTTAAAACTAAAAGACATAATATTTATTAGCAAATTGGGCTTAATTCGTAAACTACATAGTAGATGGTTTTAATGTATAATTTTCCTTTTTTTTTTTTTTTTGGTTTTGTTATGAACAAAGTTTTCCATTGCTAAACATACCCATCAAACCATTAACCACCACAAAACACAAGCTTACCAGTTTGGTGAAACCCAACAGCCACATAACAAATCCCACCGACAACAAAATAACAACCACATAACAAAACCCAACATCCAGTTTGGTGGACATTGAAAGCCTCTAACTTTTAATGTTTACATTCATGCCGATGGAACCGAAACGGCTTTCCACAAGCCTTCCACATCAAATAGTAAATCACCAACTCTCTCATCAGTGAAGCTGGTTTGGCTCTCTCATCAGTGAGCCAGATCTCTTCATCGTGTGGTCCAGAGAAGGAGAAAGATAGATAGAGAGAGAGACCCAGATACTTACCTCCCAGAAGCTCCTAGTTGCTCCTTGTTCGTGTTCTTCGTCGTCTTGACAGAGCTCTCAACCCAGAACCTCGAATGCCACAATCGTCGTCGCCTTTGTGCAACAGTCCTTGGATGACAGGAGAAAGAGAGAGGGCTGAGTGGGTAGAGAGACAGGAGGGGCAAATATGTCTGTGGGTGGGATTATCCTGATGGCTGGGTTTGTAACCCGTGGGGGGGGGGGGGGGGGGGGTTTAAGTTTAGCCGGTACAGTAAGGTTAACGAGCACCATAACAACCGGGTCAAGGATTAACCCGGGATTTTAATCCAACCTTAAAAATGCTTCCCAAACAAGGGATTTCTGGGACCATAATGCATGTTAACCCACTTTAACCTCCTGCTCAAACACACTCATTGTCATTACATTCATAACTTTGTGCATTGACTTTGATTTTTGTAGACTCAACGTGTGTATATATATATATATATATATAAAAATAATATAGTTAAGTTTTTGAATTTAAGAGGGGTATATTTTTTTTCCAAATTTTATACACCAAACACACTTTTTTTCCAAATTTTACAAATTCAACAGACACTCATTGTATAAATACTTCAATTATATACGCACAATATTATAATTTAGTGTGCAGCTAGTACTAATTTATTTCGTCTACCCACCTTTATTGACACCAAAGGAAGACTTTCTTTTCTCTTGTCGCTGTCACTACACCGGTCTCAAAGAATTGTTTTTTCCTTTCATTGTCGCTATGCTGGTATATATAGAAATGACCTTTTATGTCTATGAAGTACTAATTTTTCCTTGTAGAAAACAATCGAACCTAGATCATGAATCTTGTAGAAAAGATCTTAATTTTTTCTGTTTTATTTCTTCTGAAACGCAGATCTTGCACTTCCATAGATACCATCAACTCAATCCAGTCTTTCAAAGATGGTGACAATCTAGTCTCTAAAGGAGGATCCTTCAAGCTCGGATTCTTTAGTCCCGGCAGTTCTAGTAATCGATATGTGGGTATATGGTACAACAAAGTTAAAGAACAAACAGTAGTTTGGGTTGCAAACAGAAACAAACCGATCACTAGCCGCACTGGAGTTCTCTCCATCAACAAAATCGGAAATCTAGTGTTATACGATGAAAATCGTGACGTTCTGGTCTGGACAACCAATGTTTTAGCCACGACTGGCACCACAAACGAGTCATTTGCTCAGCTTTTGGAAACAGGTAACCTAGTGTTGTTTCAAGGTAACAAGCGAAGGGTTGTTGTATGGCAAAGCTTTGATTATCCTACAAATACTATGCTTCCATACATGAAATTTGGGGTGAATCATAGGACCGGTCTGAACCGGTTCTTGACATCCTGGAAGTCACGTGAGGATCCGGGAATCGGGGAGTATTCCTTGAAAATGGACCCTAATGGGGCGCCACAGTTGTTCTTGTTCAATGGTTCAGTTAAGGTATGGCGAACTGGACCATGGATTGGACAAGGTTGGAATGGTGTCCCAGAGATGAAATATGAGTTGATCGTGAATGCTAGTTATGTTGACAATTATGACGAGACCTACAGGATGGATACTACAGTTAATGCCTCAATTTTATCAAGATACGTAATGAACGAGTCTGGGGTGGTTGAAAAGCTTGGATTGGTCGAGGAGGACCAAAAATGGGTTGTGTACTGGCATGCACCCAAGTCCAAGTGTGACAATTATGATAAGTGCGGTGTGAATAGTTACTGTGACCCATATTCGTTCGAATGTACCTGCCTTCCAGGGTCTGAACCCAACTCTACGGGTGATTGGTACTCGAGGGATGGGTCTAAAGGGTGCACGAGGAAGCGAGGGGAACAAGTGTGTAGAAATGATGATAGATTCACAATGGTTGAACGTGCAAAGGTCCCCGACACATCATTGGCACAAGTGAACAAAAGTATGGGAACGGAAGCATGCATGGAGTTGTGCTTGAGGAATTGCTCTTGCACAGGTTACGCAAGTGCCGATGTTAATGGTACAGGAAAGGGTTGCATCACTTGGTATGAGGACTTGATAGATACTACTACACTTTTGTATGGGGGTCAGGATTTGTATATACGGGTGAATGCAGCTGGGTTAGGTATGAAATCAATTTTCATGTTAAATTTCAATGGTAATTTTTTAATTCTTTGAGCTTTAGCGGTCGAAATTCTTCTTGATATGGTCTTATTATAGAAGCCCCATACATACGAAAGTATTTTAAGTTTTGTATAGCAACAATATTCCTAGAATTTTTTCGACTACTAACAATGACTTTTAAACCATTTAATCCACGTTTATGCCTAACCAAAACAAAATTTATGTTTAATGTTAAAATATTATGGTAGCATTTAACCAATTGTACTACACCAAGAAAGGTAAGTGATTATCTAAGAAGCACATATACTTTCCACGGGATGCCGTGGCAGTATCGAATACGTGTTTGACACGAATATGGTCAGAACACGACTAAATGTGTCATGAATAGTAAATTCAGTCGGACATGGTCAGGACACGACTAGATTACGTCTAGGACACGATTAGGATACGGATAAGATGTGTTTGGGATACGATCAGGGCAGGGTCAAGAATTTTTTTATTAAAAAAAAACAACTTTTTAACTATTAAAAATTTACTTTTTTTTTAAAATATTTTTTTGTTACTTAACTTATATATGAATATTAGTAGATGTAATGATATTTGACGAAAATAGTGGATATTTAATTTGATAAAAAAATAATATTTGCTATGTCTTATTATTAATATTGTTATAATATATGCTTCATTTTTCATATTTTACAACTTTATTATTATTTAAAAAATATATTATATTATTTTAATAGTTGCATCATGCCGTACCGTGTCCCATATTTTTTAATTTTGTCATATCTCCGTGTTCATATAGTATTTGACACGACACCCGTATCCGTATCCGTGCTTCCTAGGTGGTTATTCACTTGTCATGAAGTAGTTTTCTTGTTTATGTGTGAGCCACTTCTACGGTTTTCAAACTCTTTGCACATTGTGAGTTTTAAAAATCATACCAAAACAGGAAGAGAAATTTTAAGCACCAAAGTTGGGCTAGTTTGCACCATGGTCAACTATGAAGATAACTTCTCTTTTTGCTTATCAGATCAATCAGAGGCTTTTTTTTTTTTCAGCTCAATTCTCAAAGAAGTCAAAGTGGTTTGATCACAAAAGGTTGGCGACGATTGTGGGAGTATCCCTCGCTGCAATGCTTCTCATGCTATCCTTGGTGTATTGGTTGGCAACGAAGAAGAAGAAAGGTAAACAAATTATTCTTATCATCAACACCTTAATTTAATAGTGCACATCTTTTGTGCAAATGAGTAGAAATCTTTCACCGGTTCATCAAGTTCTACAAGGTAGATTAATGCTGCATTTTAGTAACCATCCTAAAGTAGTTCAGCCTGATATAGATTGCTCATCAATCAGGCTTTCTTCAAGATGTTTCGTGTTTAATGACAGGTATGGGAGAAAGAAACAAATCACCAAATAGTTTCGTTACTTCACCGTTCTATGAAGGACCTTCTAGCAAAAAAGAGATTGTTGAAAGTGGGCCAAATTCAGATATTCAATTCTTTGATCTAAGCACTATAGTTGCTGCCACAGACAACTTCTCTCTAGCTAACAGACTCGGAGAAGGTGGCTTTGGAGCGGTTTATAAGGTAGTGCATGCATACCTCTCTTGGTTCAAATGGAAAAATAGCATACCACTCCTCATTCCGATGTGAAGGTTGTCTTTCATGGTAGCATGGGCTTAAGTAAACCCGGATTGCTCTTAAACAACAATTAAACTAACCCAAATTTCACAATCTGTTTTTAAAAATAAATGATTTTATTTCAGGGTCGGCTACCTAATGGACAGGAAGTAGCTGTCAAAAGACTATCAAAGAATTCAAGGCAAGGGATAGAAGAGTTGAAGAACGAAGTAAAACTGATTGCAAGGCTACAACATAGGAATCTAGTAAGGCTTTTGGGGTGTTGCATTCAAGAAGAAGAAAAGATGCTAATCTATGAATACTTGCCAAACAAAGGCTTGGACTCTTTCATCTTTGGTATGTTCCCCATTCTTAAACTTTCCCCACATAATTTTTTTGACATGTGAAGCGTATTAGTGATTGATACATGATTCGGTGGAACATTCAACTTTTGGTGCAGATAAAGCAAAAAAGTCAATGTTAGATTGGAAAAAACGCTATGAAATTATTTTGGGAATTACTAGAGGGATGTTATATCTTCACGAGGACTCAAGACTAAAGATCATCCATAGAGATCTAAAAGCCAGCAATGTATTGCTCGATGCCACCATGAATCCAAAAATATCAGACTTTGGTATGGCCAAAATCTTTGATGGGGACCAAATTGAAGCAAACACGAATCGAGTAGTTGGAACATAGTAAGTATCATAGTAAGAGACGAGAGATAGAATGCCACGATAAAGAATAAAACACAGTTTTGACATTTTTCTTGGGTGAATACGTTTTAATAATTTATTTAATATTGTTTGATTGCAGTGGTTACATGTCGCCAGAGTATGCAATGAAAGGACTATTTTCTATTAAGTCTGATGTTTTTAGCTTTGGAGTTATGTTGTTGGAGATCATCAGTGCCAGGAAGAACAATAGTTACTCCCCTGAGGACTCTCTTAATCTGATTGAGCATGTAAGTACCTGAAACCAATTGCATCAAAATCCAAGGCCTCAACTTGTCGTTAATTATAGAAAATTCTATCTCGTAAATTGTTGAAAACCATGACTCACATGATAAGTGCCATTTTAAGAAATATGAAAATTAAGAAGATCAGACTTGAAGCGAACAGAAGTCCATTTTGGGGTTGAATTAACGATCTTTGGTGAAGTCTTCTTGCTTTCTTCAAGAGAAGCATTGCAATTTGATTGTTTACATGAAGATAATGTTTCAAGATGTATCAGGTTTGGGACCTGTGGAAAGAAAGCAGAGCCTTGGAAATAGTTGATTTATCATTGGGCGAGTCATATCAACCTCATGAAGTGTTGAGATGTATTCACATTGGGCTTTTATGCGTGCAAGAATTTGCTGCTGATCGGCCTAGCATGTCAGAAATAGCATTCATGCTTTCTCATGATACAACACTTCCTTCTCCAAACCAATCTGCATTTATTTTCAGAAGAGAAAATAATGATCCAGTTGCATCACCGACTCGTGTGGGACCTAGTTCTATAAATGATGTCACTCTATCTGCGATTGAAGCTCGTTAAAGGCTCGCTCCATTGCAGACAATATATTATTTACTCACAATTACAAGCAGTATCAGTTGGCTGTCATTATAAGTTCATTGAATGATTTTATGTCTATAGCTAAAATTGCTAAGGTTTGTTGTAAGTTATAATTTTGTGCATGTACTGCCAAAATATGTTTTGGTCTACTCCATCTTTTCCCGAATCAAGGATTTGTATGCTTTCATAAACGATATTCTTTTCCTACAATTCTAACCAGAAGAAAACATATGGTGTGAAACAGAGAGCCACTAATGTACACCCTGGTGTTGCTCTCTCCAGAACATAACTGCCTTGTTATTTTTGGATTTAGCTTCAATGGAAGTTGTTCATATACAACAATGTATTCTCAAGTTGAAGATAGAATAGAGCATTTAGACAGAAATTGAATAGAGTAGTTCTTGCCTTGGACTAGGACTGGTACTAACTCGTTGATCCTCTATTTTTTTTTTTGGTTCAACAGTCAAGAGTGTCCAATTCGGTTTACGCACGCACACCTTAATTAATCAATTCCTCGGTCTAGTCAAAGACAGATTATTCATGTCAGGATTAGGGTATTCATGAGAGATATATCTTTCATGGTCTGATTCCAAAAAGTTACCAAGATTCAAATTCAGGATATCTGCGTTTACGACTTGTCTTCTGTTACCAGCCGATTACCTTTGTGATTGAATGTTGTATATGCTTGGTGGATAATGTTTTTTAAAATTTCTATGGTAGACTTTAAATTTTTTTTATTTCAATTCATTTACGCCTCAAATCTCTAACACTCCCCGCGACCACAATTGCCGTTGTCACCATCACCACCCCTCCACAACCGCCGCCAACCATAACCACCAATACTCCATAGCCACCACAACAAGCTGATCCACCACTGTCACCACCATCATCTTGTCATCTCAACACTGCTACCACCATCATATCCCATCGTCACCACCACCACATTCACACACCATTACCCCTCAGTATCAACTCATCATCGCCTCCACCATTATCAAAACAAACTCTCTCACCAACACCCTTACTCACCACCATATATTTTCACTACCACCTCATAACAATTTTGTTGGAAAAATAATATCAAACATAAATTTTCATGTTCTAGGAGTTATTTTTATGAATTTAGTTTTTTGTATTAGTGGGTCATCAATTTGGTATTAGTGAGGGACAAAATAATTGTAATATTTTAATTCTCCAAGTAATGGAGGAGTGGAGTCTTTATTATTTTTATTATTGTATTATGTAGTAGGGTTATTTTGTATGTCATGAGAGTCTATATATATCATATGTAATACATCTACTTGGATATGAGTGAATAGAAAGAATTTTTTCAATCTTCACTAGTCTTTTTCATTATATTTTAGTGAATGTGTGATAGTTCTCTAGATTCCAACAAAGTGATATCAGAACTAGGTTTGAGTGTTGAAAAGAGAGAGTGAGACAGAGATGACAAATGGAATGCTTCCATTTTAAATTCCTCGATTCACCAAAGATAACTATGAGAATTGGTATATCCGCATGAAGGCAATTTTTGGATCTCAAGACTTATGGGAGATTATAACAATTGGTTACATAATACCGCAAGATGAAGCTTCCTTAAGTCAAGCCAAAAAGGAAGTCTTGCAAGACACAAAGAAGAAGGATGAAAATGCTCTTTCACTCATCCATCAATGTTTGGATGATGTTATCTTACAGAAAGTTGCTAGTGCAACCACATCCAAGCAAACGTGGGATGTTCTTAAAACTGCTCATAGTGGAGTGGAAAAAGTCAAGAAAGTTCGCCTCCAAACTCTACGAGGTGTATTTGAGGTTTTACGTATGAAGGAATCCAAATTAGTTTCATATTATTTCACAAGAATCTTGGTGGTTGTAAATAATTTGAGAACTTATGGTGATGATCACTATAATGATACCTGGGTGATATAACAAATCCTCCGTTCATTGGACCCCAAGTTTGACTACATTGCCGTAGCTATTGTAGACTCTAAATATTTAGACACAATGATGATTGACGAACTCATGGGATCGTTGTTAGCCCATGAAGAACGGCTGGGCAAGAAGAAGCAAGAGCTGTTGGAGCAAGTGCTATAAACCAGGCTTTCTTTCAAAGAAAAAGAAAGAAGACAAGATGGAAGTCAAAGAGGTAAAGGGCGTGGAGGTGGAGGTCATGGTGGACGTGGTCGAGGTAGAGGAGAAAATTTTGGCCAAAATGCATCCAACAAAGAAGAAAGAGACCAAGAATCACATCGTGGAAGAGGACGTGGAAGAGACAACAATTCAAAGTCATATGGAGAGAGGTATGAAAAATCTCATATTCAATGTTATAATTGTCATCGATATGACCATTTTGCTTCTAAGTGTAGAAATAATTTTGTGGAAGAAAGAGCACACTTTGTTAAAGACAGAATTGAAGAGGTAGAGCCGACCTTGTTGTTAGCATACAAAGAAGAGCAAAAGAGAGACAAAAACGTGTGGTACCTTGAATCTGGAGCTAGTAATTATATGTGTGAAAATAAAGAGATGTTTGTGGAGCTTGATGAATCGGTAAGTGAAAAAGTTATTTTTGGAGATTCTTTTTAAATTTCAGTAATGGGAAGAGGTAATATTTTGATTCGTTTGAAGATGGAAGGCACCAAGTTTTGGAGATTCTTCTCTAATTTTTTTTATGTTCCAAGCATGCAAAAATAATATTTTGAGCTTGGGACAACTCTTAGAGAAATGTTATGATATTTGCATGAAAAATCATAATCTTTCAATAAGAGATGAAAACGAGAATTTGGTTGCTAAAGTGTTGATGATAAGAAATAGAATATTTTTGTTAAATATTCAGAGTGATGTGACAAAATGCTTGAAAGCATGTGTTAAAGATTCTTCTTGGTTATGACAATTGAGATTTGAACACTTAATTTTTAGAGGACTAATTTTGTTGTCTAGAAAGAAGATGGTGAAAGGATTGTCTTCTATCAACCACCTAGATCAACTTTGTGAGGGATGTTTAATTGTAAAACAAGCTAAAAAGAGCTTTCTCAAAGAATCCATTTCAAGAGCAACCAAACCACTTCAACTTGTTCACTCAGATGTTTGTAGCCCTATAGACCCACCATCATTTGGTAAGAACCGATATTTTCATCTCTTTATTGATGATTTTAGCCAAAAAATGTGGGTTTATTTTTTAAAACAAAAATCGGAGATATTTGGTGTTTTCAAAAGGTTTAAGGCTTTGATTGAAAAACAAAGTGGGTATGAAGTCAAGGCAATTAGATCCAATAGAGGAGGTGAATTCACATCAAATGAATTCAAAAATTTTGTGAAGAAAATAGAATTCACCATCCTCTAACGGTTCCAAGATTACCACAACAAAATAGTGTTGCTGAAAGAAGAACCGAACCACTCTTGATATGGCTCGGAGTATGTTGAAGAGTAAAAAAATGCTCAAGGAGTTTTGGGCAGAAGCTATTAATTGTACCATCTACTTGTTAAATCGGTGTCCCACTAGAAGTGTTTAAGACAAAACACCACAAGATGCACGGGGAGGAATCAAGCCAAATGTTTCTCATTTACGGGTCTTTGGAAGTGTATTATGCACATCTGCCGGATGAGAAACGGACCAAACTAGATGACAAGAGTGAAAAGTTTGTCTTCATTGACTATGATTTAAGAAGCAAAGGTTACAAGCTTTACAACCCAAGTAATGACAAGATAATCATTAGCAGAGATGTTGAGTTTGATGAAGAAGATGAATGAGATTGGAACACTCCACAAGAAGATTATGATTTTTTTCCACTCTTTGAAGAAAAGGAGGAGCCCAATAATGAGATCATGAAGTTGCTCATTTATTCTCCTCTACCATCACCTCCATTATCCACCAGTGTGCAAACATCTCTATCATCATCTGAAGCAAGTTCAAGTAAAAGGCCACCTCACATGAGGAGTTTTCGAGATATCTGTGAAGAAACCGAATAGTATTAATGATCTAATACTATTTTGTTTATTTATCGATTGTTTTCCCATAGGCTATGAGAAAACGGCACAAGACAAGAAGTGGAGGAGTGCCATGAATGAAGAAATTGATGCTATTGAAAGAAATGCAACATGGGAGCTTGCCACACTCCCTAGAGGACAAAAGGCCATTGGAGTGAAGTGGGTGTACAAGATAAAAAAAAATGCCAAAGGTGAAGTAGAGAGGTATAAATCAAGGTTGGCTGCAAAAGGCCATAGTCAAAGATCGAGTATTGACTATGATGAAGTATTTGCACCCGTTGCTCGTTTGGAAATAATTAAATTGATTATTTTTTTAGCCGCTCTAAATGATTGAAAAATTCATCAAATGGATGTAAAGTCTGGTTTTTTGAATAGCTTTCTTGATAAAGAAGTGTATGTTGAACAACCTTTGAGTTATGTTGTGAAAGGGCAATAAGAGAAAGTCTTGAAATTAAAAAAGGCTTTGTATGGTTTGAAGCAAGCACCAATGGCTTGGAAATAGTAGACTTGACAAGTACTTCCAAGCAAATAATTTCACCAAGTGTCCCCATGAACAAGCTCTTTATGCAAAGGTGAATAATAATGGTGATATACTTTATGCTTGTTTGTATGTGGATGAGTTGATCTTTACAGGAAATTGTCCAAGAATGTTTGAAGATTTCAAGAGAGTAATGACTAAAGAATTTGAGATGATCGACATTGGGCTTATATCATACTACCTTGGCATTAAAGTAAAACAAATGAAGGAAGGTATTTTTATCTCTCAAGAAGATTATGCTAAAGCAATTTTGGCAAAATTCAAAACGCAAGATTGTAAACCGGTATGCACACTTGTTTAATGTGGTGTAAAATTGTCAAAATATGAAGATGGAAAGCATGTGGATCCTATCCATTTCAAGAGCCTAGTGGAAATCTTGAGGTACTTAACATGCACAAGGTTGGATATTCTTTTTAATGTTGGTCTTGCAAGTCGCTATATGGAAGCTTTTACCATGACCCATTTGAAGGTGGCGAAAAGAATTTTTAGATACATCAAAGGTACACTTGATTATGGATTGTTATATTCTTTTTCTAACAATTCCAAGCTTACGGGTTATTGTGATAGTGATTGGGCCAGAGATATGGATGATAGAAAAAGTACTACTGGAGATGTTTTTTTTATGGGAGATACTACATTTGCTTGGAGTTCAAAGAAGCAACCCATTGTGACTCTTTCGACTTGTGAAGCCGAGTATGTGGCGGCTACATCATGTGTTTGTCAAGCCATATGACTTAGAAATTTGTTGAAGGAGCTTCATTAGCCTCAAGAAGAATCAACTGACAACAAATCGGCACTAGCGTTGATAAATAATCCGGTGTTTCATGATCGTAGTAAGCATATTGACACAAGGTTCCATTTCATTAAAGAGTATGT